GAAATTCTAAAACCAGTATCAGAAGGTACTCCCTTATCACCTGAGGATAAAGCCTGTGAGAATCATTTCATGTCCACTCATTCAAGAACTAAAGATGGTCGATACGTAGTTAAATTACCTTTGAAAGAACCAGTAGAAACTCTTGGAGATTCACGTTCATCTGCATTAGCAATGCTAAACTCATTGAAAAAACGTTTCCAAGCTAATCCCAACTATCATAAACGGTATTCTGCCTTCATTTCTGAGTATGAATCCCTAAATCATATGTCAAAAGTTGAAAATCATTCTGAAAATGATAATATAAAATTTTATTTACCTCATCATGGTGTTTTGAAAGAATCAAGCTCAACTACAAAACTAAGAGTAATTTTCAATGGCTCACAACCTACTTCTTCAGGGAAATCTCTAAATGATATCTTACACTCTGGGCAGAAACTACAAACCAATTTATCTGACGTCCTAATATGGTTTAGACAGTTCAAATATGTATTCTCATCTGACATTGAAAAAATGTATCGACAAATAGCCGTACATCCTGATGACTGGGATTTACAACGAATCCTTTGGTATGAAGAGGAACAACTTTGTACCTATCAACTGAAAACTGTAACATATGGATTATCATGTGCTCCATTTTTAGCTTTAAGGACAATGGAACAACTAGTCATTGATCACGGCAGTCAGTATCCATTGGGAGCTTCAGTCCTCTCAAAAGGTAGATATGTTGACGACATCTTTGCAGGTGCTGACACAATTGAAGAATGTCAAGAAGTTGTGAAACAGGTCAATAACCTCTGCATGGCAGGCTGCTTTACTCTGCAAAAATGGATAAGTAACGATCCCTCAACGTTAGCTTCTATATCTACTGAGTGCCATATAAAAGAAACATCGGTCAATATCAAAGAATCTCTCAAGGTACGTACCTTAGGCTTAATCTGGCAACCATCACATGATAATTTCCAGTTTCAGCAGGATATTCATCCTCTAGAAATAGCCAATAAAAGAAATGTTCTATCAACTATTGCTAAGCTATTCGATCCCCTAGGTCTCATCTCACCTGTAGTTCTTAAAGCTAAAATATTTATGCAACAGCTATGGCTCATGAATCTAAACTGGGATGAAATTCTTCCCCCGTCCTTATTGAAACAATGGCAAATATTTGAAAATCAACTTCAAGACCTACCTGAAATATCAATTCCCAGATTCTTAGGAGTTACAAAGTCAAAGAGGATCGAGCTCCATGATTTTTCAGATGCATCACAATTTGCAATGGCCGCTGTTATGTACATCAAAGTGATTTCTTGTTCACAAAATGTAACAAACATAGTCTGTTCAAAAACTAAAGTTGCTCCACTTAAAAGAATGAGCATCCCCAGACTGGAGCTGACAGCAGCACTATTGTTGGTACGTCTTGCCCACTATGTCAAAAAAGTGTTAAGTATTGAATCTGCACCATTGTGGTTATGGACAGATTCTCGTGTGGCTCTCACGTGGATCCAAAATCAACCATTTAAGTGGAAAGACTTTGTTTGTAATAGAGTTACTACTATTCAGGAACTAGAACCATCAGCTCAATGGAGATTCGTTCCCGGCAAAGATAATCCAGCTGACTGTGCTTCTCGTGGATTATGCCCTAAAGCCCTCAAAACACATACGTTATGGTGGTTAGGTCCCTCTTGGCTTGCAGAAGACTCTACAAAATTGCCTACAACTTCTCATGAACCTGCTAAGGAAGCAGTATCTGAAATTCAACGGGAGAAGTCCTCAAATGTAGTTCGTTCGTACTCTGAACCTGAGTTACTGAGTCGCTACTCTGATCTTAATAAACTATTGCGTGTTACATTATGGTGTAAACGGTTTATAAATCGTCTCAAAGGGAATCATGATACTGCGTATACTCCATACTTAACTCCAAAAGAGTTGAATGATTCTCTCTTATTCTGGACAGGGTTTGTCCAAAACCAAGCGTTCATAGAAGAATTTAAACTGCTAAAAATGAACAAGCCTGTACATCAGTCCAGTAAACTTTACAACTTCAATCCATTTTTTTGATCATGACAAACTCATCCGAGTTGGCGGAAGGCTTCAAAATGCATCTATTGAGTATGATACAAAACATCCTTTCATTCTCCCAAAAGATTCCCTCTTATCAAAACTAATCATCAACGATGCTCATATTCGCACACTTCACAGTGGAACTACCAACACTCTATCAAAAGTAAGACAGCGCTTTTGGATTCTTGGAGGCCGTCCAACTGTAAAGAAAGAATTATCACGCTGTGTTATTTGTGCTAGATATAGAAGTGAACAAGCTCAACAACTCATGGGACAGTTGCCCCCATCAAGAGTCACCCCTTCACGTCCATTTCTACATTCAGGAGTTGATTATGCTGGACCTTTCATTATTAAAACTTGGCATGGAAGAGCAGCAAAAACATACCAAGGATACATAGTATTGTTCATATGTTCTTCCTCTTCAGCAATTCATCTTGAACTAGTCACAGATTATTCCTCAGAAGCTTTTATCGCTGCATATAAAAGATTTACTGCTCGTCGAGGGATATGTGCAACTATCACCAGTGATTGTGGAACAACATTTGTCGGTTCAGACAGTGAACTAAACCGCCTTTTCACAGCTTCAACATCAGAATCAAACAAATTAAGAGATCTGTTATCTAAGGACGGAACCCTATGGAAATTTAACCCTCCTTCTGCTCCTCACTTTGGTGGTCACTGGGAAGCTGGAGTGAAGTCTGTTAAATATCATCTAAAGAGAGTTGTAGGTGACCACATATTAACGTATGAAGAGTTTCTTACAGTTCTCATCCAGATAGAAGGAGTATTAAATTCAAGACCATTGTGCAAATTGACTGAAAATCCAGATGACTTAACAACTTTAACACCAGCTCATTTTCTGGTTGGTGGTGCTTTATCTGCTGTTCCAGAACCAGATCTAAAAGGAGTGCCACAAAATCGACTATCACGGTGGCAGTTATTGCAACAAATGAAACAAAGCTTTTGGAAAAGATGGTCCAAAGAGTACCTACAAAAAATGCAAACAATGTACAAGTGGAGATCTCCATCAACACCGGTGGAAATCGGATCAATTGTTCTCATTATCGATGAACAATATCCCCCATCAAAGTGGCCTTTGGCTAGAGTGATTGGCGTTCACCCCGGACAAGACAAGATAACTCGAGTTGTGACACTTCAAACCGCTACTGAGATATTGAAAAGACCGATTGTAAAGTTGTGTCGTCTACCAATATCATCTGCAAGCTCTCTTTTTCTTTTGGTGCGGGAGAATGTTAAAAGAATTGTATTTAACATATGTTCGTTTACAATATTTGTAAACATCTCAGTTCATTGTTTTTCATACCAAATAAAGGTTCATAATCAATTTCTTCTGTTTAATATCTTCATCTTTTTACAACCTTCTTGAGGAATTAGAGGGCCTAATCGGTGGTAAAACGTGTCATGAACCTTGAAATTGTCGATCCCCTGTGGAATTTTCTCATCTTAATGAGCTTCGGAGCTGATCATGGCAGAACTGAATTGACGAATTTTATCCAAATAATTTCTGGATATAAGTCTCGCAGTCTTTTTTTTAGATTGGGAATTTCCAATAAGATCCTGAAGGTATGGTGAATGGTACAAATGAGGTAAACGAACCTTTCATTTATGGCAACAAAGAGTAAAAACTTAACCGTCTCGGTCAGTCTTTTCTTGCTTAAAATGTAAGCCACTACAATGTAAACATTTAACGTTCATTTGTCCGAGATTGGATATATCACAACGGTGGTTCTACCACAATGTACCCGTCAAATGTTCAATTGAGAGGTTTATGCAAGCGGTCATGTCCACGTTCCCTCCAGCTACTCACAGTTCTTCGTCGTACTCGCGGCATTTGATTTTAAATTGAAATGAAATAAGAAACAACAGAAAACGCTATAAAGGAATTGGAATTTTGATACACATTGTAAATTATATGATAGTATGGTAATGCAACGGATAACTGCCCTGTGAATAATCGAACTGTAACTACATGATAATCAGTAAAGTACGATGTAAGGTCAATCAATTTAACTATAGTCAAAAAGAATGAAATATTTATTAAATTTTTATTCTTTTTGTCTATGATTTAACTATTACAAACACTTTGTTGTCTACTGTAGTATTGCTAGGAAACTCTTGATTATGAACCAGACTTAGTTATAATATATAGATTAGTTCCCTAAAAACCTTTAATCTTGTTTCAGAATATATAAAAAACAGCTGCTACCCAGTTGACTATATGGTCGGTTGATGGAATATTTTGAAATTTTTTATTTATTACAAACATTCAATTGTATATACAGGGTAGGGGTATTCATAGGTCTAAATACAATTCAATGCCTAGTCAAATTCGATAAGCTTAATCACAATAAGTTTGAATGTGATTTTTTTCATGGGATCAACTATCTTTTGAATGAAACAGTGGACGGTTTTGTACAGCTGATTTTACAAGTACATGCGTTGTGGGTCTACAATAGCTATTTTACTCCTTACGGATCAAAAAACTAGGGAGCTTAGGAAGTTAAAGTCAGTTCGCATGTTTATAAATTATTATTGATTGATTTAATTGGATGTAGCTTATTATTGCATTTTTCACTCAATCGAAATGATTAAATCGGTTACTAAACAGCTGTTTTTTGGAATTAGTAAATTTGATAACAATTAAAATATTGTAAGTCATATAGGAGGTTATCTTTATATGAAAAGCTTATTTATTTTCATTTCCCAACTTAGTTTGTTAATTTATGTTGTAATATGAAGGAAAATATAGTTCATGACACGGGGAAAAAGTGTTTTTTGTACCCTTGCTTATTTTCCGAACCTAAAACTTGAGCTCGGTTCGTAAAGAGTCCCTTACACCTCAGTGACGTACAACAAAAAGTACTTTATAAAACCCCAATGGTTCTATGGTTTGATTTGGTCAGTTTGGTCGTCTGAAGCGCCTGTCAGTTCTGGGGGTGGTTTGTAGCGTGTAGCGGCCCGACGCTTCTTAGTTGTCCGTCAACCGCCGCGACGCACTCACTGCCTCCATGATCCGACACTTTAACTCTCGTCCGACGTGACGCCTAGGTGAGTTCATTGACAACAGCATCTTCTTGTCTATTACTAGGAGCGTGTGATATATATATCATTAGGTATATATATTTTGCCAACAGGGTTATTTTTTTGTGAAAGTATTTTAAATGTCAGATGAGGTTGTACTTCAAGTCTTCAGTTTCTTACAATCGGGTTAAATTAACCCTCGGTGATATATCAAAATGTTTTATTTAAATTGGAAACAAAATGGTCAAAGTTAATATGTACCAATTTCCATACTGGTAGGTTAGTTTTTCCTTGCCATTTCAAATACAGTACTTGGTTTACAACTGATACTCGTAAATTTAAAGTCTACAACAATGTTTACACATAAAAATTATAACAAACTTAATAAGTAGTTTTATTTAGTTTATATTTATGTGCATTACATTGATATATGCGATTAGCTTTCTAGTTAAGAAACGGTGCGTTTGTTTGCACATAAATTGGTGAAATGTGATTAGGTAGAATGCCATTCTACTTTAGAAGTTCGGATATCTTTTTTTAAACGGCCTTAATTATAGATTCAGGTCTATTTAAGTTTATATTAATATTGTTTGATATTATTAATTCACTGGCGTGGACACAGAGGTTAATATTTTGAAAATGTGTGGAATTTGTTTTTTGTTTAAATGGATTTCATGTTTATTTCTCGATGGTTTGGAGCCCACCTAGCTCTGTCTTTATTCATTATTATATTGAAACAGGAACATAATGTAGCGTACTTACCCTTGATATGTGTTAAACGTAAAACAGAATTAGGTGCCTTTCCTAGCTTTGCAAAGGCCTCAAAATATAGTAAATACCACCACCGCAGCAAACCTGCCGACTAAGCGAATTTCCATTTGTCTGAATTGATTCCAATTAAATCTATTAAAATAACTTTAAGTTTAACGAGTACCTCGGTTTGCTGCTACAAAGAAACTAATAAAGTGTATTTTTAGTAAAATACTAGCTGTACCCGCGGGCTTTGCCCCGTTTAACTTCATAAGTGAGCTTGTTCGCATGGCTCAATAACGTCCTGATTGAAGTTCGTTTGCTACGCTCACTCACCTTTTGAATTTCCTTCGTACTGGATACGTAACCTCCATTAAAAAACATGTCTGAAAAATACAGGGTTATTTCAAAAGAATGGTACAAAACTAAACGGTTGGGTACTGTTTTATATGGGCTTTTTATTAAATAAAAACCCAAGTGGAGGAAACACATCTTTTTTCAATAAAGCCATCTTAAGAGAGAGAGACTCTCCAAGAAGAACTTCCCACCCTGATTCACCTCGCAGGGTGGCAACATGACAACATTATAATATCATAATTAACTTTTACGCATAGCATATACAACGGGTACGCCTGTTCCGTGATTTCAAACAACTGATTTGTATGGCAATGGAAAGGGCATGTTTATAAGTTTGTTTTGACCTTAAGAGGGTTTTGATCTCACCAACTAACAACACATCTCCATTTTTTCTATCACCTTCTAATGTAGAAACTCTAGAGTTTATAGACTTTCATTACTTGGCCTTTCCACTTCATTCTTGGTCCTCCAAATGGTCGCCTGTCTTGTGGTACTCCTTGGAATATACTTAAAAGTTTATGTGTCTTCTCTCCTCCACGCATCCTAGTCTTTACTTTTGGATAGCGCGCCTATATCTGAGTGTTTATACATATCTCTTAATTATCTTTTTTTGTCTTATCTCAACCTCCGTTACCTCAAACTGGTCCATATGTTTTTCTCTGCACTCTATTCCTTAACCCAAAAATAATGTTTTCCGGATTCTTTGGCCAGTGTCCAAGATTCTGAGCATTGCTATGCTACTGGGATAGTTACTGGGCGGTTTAAATTGATTTTGGTTTCCATTGACAGCCATTTGGACTTCTAGAGCTTCCCCGAGTCTAAACTAGAAGAGGCAGGTGATAAAAGAAAATGGGGATGTGTTTTTAGTTGGTGAGGTCAAACCTCTCTTAAGGTTAAAACAAACTCATCCCACACACCCTTTTCATTGTTGTAAAAATCAGCTGTTAAAATCACGGAATCTGGTGCACCAACCGTTTAGTTTTGCACTATTATTTTTTTAATAACCCTGTAAGTAATAGAGTAAAAAAAAAACTAATTGCAACAGTATTAAATTTTGTCTAAAATGGCTTCTTGCTTATTTTGCGAAATGATAACTTACTAGGGTACCTGTTGCTCGAATTCAAGCAATTGCTAAGTATTACGGGAGTTATTTTAAAACGATTAACAGTCATAATTTCTGATGACTTTAAGGGGAGTCGCTACTCAAATTAGTGAAAAATCTTCAAAAATTCAAAAAAAAAAATTGTTCCTAAATTATTTTATATATCTTTTAACATTATAAAAACCACCCAAAATCATTTTTACATACATGTACCTAGGAGAAAAAAAATAAAACAAACTGTTTTACGGTGCGACAAAGACAAGTAGGCTAATGTAACCAAAGGCTTATAAAAAGGTATGTGCATATGTTATTCACAACTTAGCCCTAAATAAATTGTAGTTTATAGCTTTTTGCATTCTTATTTGTTTGTTACCATGGCATTTAAAAAAAAAATTACCAAAAATGTTTTTTTTTAACATATGCTAATTATTTTGTATAGTAAAACACATCTGCCGGAAAACATCTGTTTCCCGAAAGTTGTGTTTTTCTACGTTTCAGCCTAAAAACTTTTATATTCCAAAAAAACTACTTGAGCTACAGTTCTGAAATTTTGTACACACCTTTTGCATATATAAACCTAAAAGAACACGTATTTTGAATCCATTTGGTAAATTTGTTTTTTATATATAAATTAACAAAAAATTTTAAAAAATTAAAAAATATTCTCAAAATTTGCTGTTATTTAAAAAATAGTAAATGTTTCTGTAATACAATAAAAATAAGTGATATTAAAGAAAATTTAATGCTGAACAAAAGTATACCATTTCCATTTGTGTAAGGTTTATGGTTTTCTTTAAATATAAATTTTAAAAATATTCCGAAAAAACAATAAAACCCACTTTTAGGGCACATAAAAAAATATTTTTTATTAAAATTTTTTTGTTTTTTTTTTGTTTTAGGTCTATCTTAAGTATAAAAGCCTGATACAAAATAAAAATTAGTTAAAATAACAATTTTAGCGATTTCAGTAGTGACTCCCCTTAAAAGATACGACTCAAATATTATGGAAATACTCAAGATGTATGTAACAGTAACAGATCGATATAATTAAAATTTCTTGTAAAATCTCATCATTTTTCAAAAGCTGATCTTGTTTTTTAGTGTTTTCTACAAATAGACTTACTCATAGCCGCATTAGGTTGTCCATAATAACGAGTATAAAAAAAACAATATATAATGTTTCCATAGTTTGCAAATCGGCTCTTTCAATGATTACTAAGAAATGCAGCACAGTGTTAATTCAGTTTTCTTTTTAGTACAGTATATCAAATTATCCAGGATCTCTCACTTTTTTACATTGTAATATTTACGCCAAACCAAATTCAAATAGTAAATATTTCATTTCAACCATCAGTAAATGTTTGTAGCAAACTTATTGACTGTTTACAAATTATCATATTTTTTCTCACTTTTAATTTCTAAGAACAGCTGGAGTTTCATTACAATGTTTGTTTCCCATGTTATTCTTATGGAGAAATACGAAACTTTAAATGGCCCTAGGGCCTCACTCTCTAATTATTTCCCTAAAAGAAAGTTTCCTGCACAATTTCACGTTACGCTCTTTCCAATGACACCAAAAACATGTCAATCGGTTCAGTATTTCGGAGGAGTAATTGTCACAAAAAAACTGCTTGCGTATTAAATAATTAACTAGAGGTCGTCCAGTGGTCGAAAACACGACCAAAAATATGTAGGCATACAGTTGGATTATTTAGCTAAAAGTGGTTGAGTTATGTTCGAATATCTTTGAAGATGAGCCTTTTTGGCTGTAGTGAGTGTGATCATGTGTTCAATGTTCACATGTCAAATTTTGAGGTTAAATCAAAACAAACAAACTGGCATATTGTCCATTAGGGGAAATGTTGTATTATTTACGAAATAATGTTCATTTAAGATCTAATAAATTAATTTTGTATATGTCATTGTCTGATTTATTAGAACACATTCAGTATTAAGGCTACTGCATTTTATAAACCAAACTCTAATCTTGATTCATTGGCCTATTATGGGTCAAAACTCATAACAGGCCAACCTATAAAGCTTTATCTCGTCATCTCGAGAGTATTATAATTCTGACCCCTCACTTGAAACCCTTAAAAGGTGGGTATGGGTCTTCAAAGAAACCATCACTTAATTTGAAGACAATAATTAGATAACAATCTATTCATGCATTAATTTGGAATTAGGAATCACGTCTATATTTCACAGTAAATATTCTCATGACCATGTGATTTTATTAAAGTACTTCATATTATTATATTAAAATCATTAATAAACATTTAAAAATGAAATAAGTAAGGGTAAGTATATTTAACTATTGTTAATTAATAGCTATTTACATTACAAGTGTAGTAAGAGCGTTTTTACATCACGCAGGTGAATGTTGTGTGCATAATTGACCTAAGTGATGTAAACACGCTCTTGCAAAACGTGTAACGTACAAGATTTTACCTGGCCCGACAATACATGGGGTTACGTACAAATTTTTCATTTTTCATTTCACTCATCTTCTAACAGTAACGTTCTTTTACAAACAAAAGCTAGGTTAGGAAAATACTTTAAAGCATACCAATAACATTCAAGGGCACAGCTGATTTCTAGCGTTGAACGTCGTTGGCTCCATAGAGGTATATTTTTTTAAGTTAAGTATTCAATGTATTTAAATGGGTTTCATTACCTCACCGAGTGAGTTTTTTTCAACTTTACATCACTCGAGAAGTAAGGAAGTTGTATAAATCACGTAATATTGTCTGTAATAGGCTATAGTTAGGGATAGGGAAGTTTAACATGGCGGGTTAGGTAACAGAATATACCTAAT